TAAAATTTGTGTTTGTGTTTTGTGCCGTTGTTTTTGATTTGTTTGGCCTTCTTTGATCGGCGTTTGTTTTGGTTTCTCGGTGCCGCCGTCAGCCACAACAAGTGGTATCAGAGCTCGGGCTACGCTTGGGCTATTTGGAGGAGTAGATCACTTTGAAAGTTCATCTAGGGCTTCGTTTGGTGATAAAGGTGGGATTTTTTTGGTAAAAATCTCGTCTTTTTCAGTTTGGATCTATTTCTCGTTTGTTTCCGTATTGGTTTGGTGGTGCTTTGAGGATTATGGCCGAGAAAAAAGGAGTTGTGGGTAGTACTTCCGGCGTGAAGACCGTCTAAAGCTTGAATATCCACTCGATGAAGATTGACGTGGAAAAGTTCAATGGCACAAACAATTTTGGACTTTGGCGATGCGAAGTCATGGATGCGCTCAACGTGTAAAATTTGGAAGATACATTGGAGTTGGTCGGGAAACTGGACAACATTGATGAGAATGTTTGGAAAAAGATGAATCGAACGGCGTGTGGTGTGATTAGGTCTTGTCTCACTCAAGATCTAAAGTATGATGTGATCAATGAGACTTCTGCAAAGAAGATTTGGGAGATCCTTGAGAGCAAGTATTTGACCAAGAGTGTGGAGAATCGCTTGTATTTGAAGAGGAGGCTTTACCGCTTCCAGTTGAAGAAAGGAACCTCCATTGGTGATCACATGAACCACTACACGAAGCTTCTTGCGGATTTGGCGAATGTGGATGTTGGATTTGGCGAATGTAGATGTGGTGATTGAAGATGAGGACAAGGCGTTGTTGTTGTTGAGTTCCTTGCCCGACGAGGAATATGAGACCTTCGTTCTTACTCTTATTAATGAGAAGACATCTCTTTCGTATAGTGAGGTCACCGCTGCACTTGTGAATTATCAGCTTCGAAAGAAGGATAAGGAGACTTTGATTGAGCCGGTAGCGGGGGCGTTGGTCGCAAGAGCAAAGAGTCCAAACCGTAGTAGAAGATCGCAGTCTAGAGGGGCACATCTTGGAGTTCGTAAGAATCAGTGTGCTTTTTGCAAAGAGGATGGACATTGGAAAGCCGAATGCCCAAAGTTAGTTGATCGAGCCGGGAAGAATAAGGGAAAAGCTATTCAAGCTTCAGAGGCGAATGTTGTCAAGGCAAATGGCAACGATTCAGATTCGGATTCTTCGGGCTACTCGTTATCTGCACTGCCGTCAGTTTGTGTTGCCTACTCTACGGAGTGGATGTTGGATTCGGGGGCTACATACCACATTTGTCCTAGGAGGGATTGGTTCTCTAGCTTTCAGGAGTTGGAAAGAGGGGATTTCGTGCTCATGGGGAATGATCACAAATACTCTATTGGTAGTATCGGTACCGTTCGGATCAGGATGAGTGACGGGGTGATTCGGGATTTGGTTGGAGTGAGGTTCGTTCCTCAGTTGAAGAAGAACATCATTTCACTTGGAGCTTTGGAGGCAGCTGGCTATAGGGTGACCTTGGCGGATGCGTGCTTGAAGGTTACATTTGGGTCTATGATTGTGATGAAGGGCGTCAGAAGGAGAAATTTGTATTATTTGCTCGGAATCACGGTGATTGATAGGGAGATGATGACTTCATCAGATTTGGCTAGACTGTAGCATCGTTTGGTACTGGGGTATATGATTGGTAATGCCGTGCATTGGTTATTGAGGAGTGCTATGACCTGCAGATTGAAGTCATGTGAGCACATTGGGATGAGCAAGACCGTGGTGGAGTTTGGCACTTCTATCCATCGAGCGAAGGGTCTTTTAGGAGGTGTTCAGTCAGGTATTTGGGGGCCTTCCAAGGAGGCATCATTGGGAGGTAATCGTATCTTTGTTTCCGCAGTTGATGATTGTTCTAGGTATTATTGGGTCGCGATCAGTTCCCGTTGGTGTAAAGTCCTAGAAGTCAACAATAATTGGAAGAAGTGTATTGGCAGAAAGGTAACTGTTCCCGTTGGTGTAAAGTCCTAGAAGTCAACAATAATTGGAAGAAGTGTATTGGCAGAAAGGTAACTCATTGTTCCAGCTTTGGTAGGGGTCCTTTCTTGCGTTGGTGCCGAGCTCACGGCAATAGGAGACACTTCATTAGTGTGGAGACTTTGGGGCGACGAGATGAGATGACAGTTTCAATGGGTCGTTCCTTTCTGGAGGAGGATCGGCGTTGGCTGTCGAGCATTGGTTCTGGAGCTTCGACATATTTGGGTCATCTCAGTCACAGGTCGCCGACTGCTGTATTAGAAGTTATTGGATCTGGTGGAGCTGCTTCAGATTTTGGGTCGCGTCGGATGTTTGGATACCCAGCACTTGGTCACATCGTGGATGTGATATTGGATCCGATAGCGTGTTTGGGGTTCGGAGGCTCAGTTGATTATCATTTGGGAGCTTCTGATTTTGTTCTGAGTAGGTATGTCACATTAGACTCTCAGCAGGTGGAGAGTGTTGATCAGATCGTTTGGATATCGCAGCAGGTGGAGGGTGATGCTACTTCACGTTAGGTGGAACTTATTCCACATACTCCAGATCATACTGCGTCATTTAGGATTCCAGCTGAGGTGACACAGGTTGGGGATCATTTGATTTCGGATGCAGATGATAGATTTGTTTTGGATTCGGTTGCAGCTGGTGGACATGTTTTGGAGACGGCCATTGGTTTACCTCAGATGGAGGTGTTTGATTTGTATCAGTTTGGGGCCGCTATCAGTTGCAGATCGTTTGGTGATATTGGGGAAGAGTTGCAGACTTTTTTATTTGTTTGAGGGCCTTTGGAGGCCGTTTGGGTGAACTACGTGAATGCTTGATTCCTTGGGCAAGAGGATACGTAGACAGTCAGTTTTGATGCAGCCGATTTGGTGAACGACATCGACATTTGGGGTGAGTGTTCGCACTCCCATTTGGGTCTCAGCACGTGAGGCATTTGTTTGGTTGGTGTCGGCTCAGTTTTGGGAAAACTTCGCCGAGGTGGAGAATTGTGGAGAAGAACTTGGAAAAGCAGATTTTCGGTCATAAGTCGACTCATGCACATGCATAAGTCGACTTATGGTAAGTCGACTTATGTTTGTGCATGAGTCGACTTACGTTCTGCTCTGGATTGTTGGTTTTTCACTTTGCCAAGTCGACTTATCAGGTCTGATAAGTCGACTTATGATCTCTTCTCCAGTTGTCATTTTTCGCTCTGCCAAGTCGACTTATGCAGACTGATAAGTCGACTTATGACGGGTTTTTTGGAAAGTTCAGGTTCCTATTTGCAGTCTGTTTGGGTTTCTGTTTTGGTATAAATACCAATACGATTTGAGGGTTTTGTAGGAGCAAATCTGGGGATTTTGGAGCACAGAAAAGAGAGATCTTTCTGAGCTATTGGTTAGGGTTATTGGTTGAGAGGTTGAGAGATTTGTTGGTGAGATTAGTTGGTTCGTTTGAGCGATTTGTAATCTCAATTTGTACTCTCCTTCTCTATTAGTGAAAACGCACCCCCTTCTTGCCCCGTGGACGTAGGCAATTGCCGAACCACGTTAAAATTGGTGTTTGTGTTTTGTGCCGTTGTTTTTGATTTGTTTGGCCTTCTTTGATCGGCGTTTGTTTTGGTTCCTCGGTGCCGCCGTCAGCCAAACAACCCTATCTCTAGCCTAACTTCCTAATTATGATAGGATTCAAACTGCTAATCAAGATAAAACCCAAACTCCTAATCATGATAGAACTCAAACTCCTAGGCATTATAGAACTCTAATCCCCAAAGCTCCCGACCAACACCCGCAACCGAGCTCCAACATCCAGTAGTGAATCTCCAATTCGAGCTCCTCACTCCTCATTTCAGATCCGTCGTACCGCGTCTGCACGGCGTCGTCGCCTCATCGTCAGACCCCACGGTCTCGCAGGCAAGATCCCTCTTGCCGTTATTTTTCATTTGATTCATATTTACCGCAAGAATTATTGAGATTTTCATGAAATGGATGCTGGAAGCTGCATCATGAAAAAAAAATCAATCATTAGTAATTGGGGGATATGTATGGTTCTAAAGAGAGTTGATTACTCACATCAGCATCAGAGGTTTGATAGCAACATAAAATGGAGATATTGATCTCTCACAAAATGATCTTCTTCACTTAAATATAATCAATACATCAAGAAGAAACCCTAGAAAATTGGGTGTCAAGAATCTATCGTAACCAATAATAAACCCTAGAAAAAAATTGGGGAAATACCTCACCCATGAGCATTTGAGGAGGGGGTGGGGGG